CAGCCTGCCCTCCCCAGACACAGCCAGTTGTCCCCCTCTCACTTTCATTAAGCCCAGTCTGAGTTGGATTTCCCGTTACCTACCAATGAGAGTCCTAATTAATATAAAAGTGTCGGAGGTTGGGTAAAGCAAAGTGAGCCATCGCTGCTAAAGGAAGCAGAGCTCCCTGAGAAGCTCTTGGAGCCAGAGTCCAGGCTGGCTTTGGAGCCTGTCAGCCCCTAGCTCAGCCTCCAGCATGAGAGGTAGCAGTCACCCTGGGATAAGGTGGTTCTGGCCGAGCTGGGTCTCATTTCGGTGCTGATGGACCTGGGACCCTGCTGATTTTCCTCTTTAACAGCCCCGATCTCAGGCTTGCAGCCTCAACATGCAGTTTAACAGGTAGCAAAAATTTGTCTGTCTTGGATTTTACTTTCCTAGTCACTTTTATGGTCATCTGAATTTGTGGCAAATTATATTTTGCTTTTTGCTGATGTTGTTTTCCTTTAAAAGGGAGAGGGTGAGGCATGGTGGCTCACGCCTGTAGTCCCAGTAGTTGGGAGGCTGAGGGGGGAAGAATTGCCTGAGTCCAGCAGGTTGAGGCTGCTCAAGCCGTGATCGTGCCATTGCACTCCAGCCTGTGTGACAAAGGGAGACTGTCCCCCCCCCAGAAAGGGGTGACGGGAGTTGAGCTGTAATAACATAAAGCAGTTGTGAGGCAGATGTGGCAACACTGACAATGGTGGTGGGGTGAGTCAGTTTGGGGAACGCTGAGCCGGGGACTGAACACTGCGTGGGGCTCACGTGTCTTCTCATTCACGGCCGCAGCCGCCTTTCTTCTGAGGCCAGTCTCCACTCCAGGCCAAGGTGCATGGTGTGGCCGGAAATACCAGCAGTTGTGGACTCATGTAGCCCATGTCCTAGTCAGCAGCTTCCCCTTTGCCAGCTGCGGTGTCAGGACAAGTTAGCTTCTCTGCACCTTCATGTCAGTACCTGAAACCTGGAGCTCCGACTCCCTTTCCAGGGTTTGGGGGTTTTGGAGATTACAAGAGGACTGTTGGAGGACTCTAATACCTTGGATTCCTTGGATTCCAGCGCTCTACAATTAGTCCCAGGAACTACATGTCAGTTCTGAAAATACCTGTAGGGTAGCTGTGTGTTCATGATGCCAGAGCTTGAAGTGTTTTGAGGAACAACACTGCCCATGTAGGAAGGGTGTGGTGGAGCCCCTTGTGCAGAGACCCCTCCTTGGAGGAGAGAGTTCTGGTTGAGCTTCCCCAGGGGATGCTGATACAGCTTTGCTGGCAGACTGAGTGGCAGTAGGCAAGCCATGCCACTGTCTCTTCCTCTGTCTCCAAGGCAGGATCTCTGCTTTTGATTCCTGGACTTGCAGATGCTACTTCATGTACACAGCTGTCACGTCCCGCTGCAGTCTAGGATGGCAGCCAGAACAGCACTCACATCAAGTATATTGGAAAAACCCTTTTACTTCCATAGCATTATGGTTCCTAAAAGGTGCCTGGTCTGCTTATTAGAGTATCCATTTTGCTTCACTTATATTATTAAAGGTACATAAAATAAGGATTTTTTTTTTTTCCATTCGAGATGGGAGTTTCGCTCTTGTTGCCCAAGTACCCGTCACCACGCCTGCCTACTTTTTGTATTATTAGTAGAGATGAGGTTTTGACATGTTGGCCAGGCTGGTCTTGAACTCCTGGCCTCAGATGATCCATCTGTCTCAGCCTCCCAAAGTGCTGGGGCCAAAATAAGTTTTTTTTTGTTTTTTGAGACGTAGTTTGTTCTTGTTGCCCAGGCTGGTGGAGTGCAATGGCATGATCTTAGCTCACCACAACCTCCACCTCCTGGGTTCAAGCGATTCTTCTGCCTCAGCCCCCAGAGTAGCTGGTATTACAGGCATAAGCCACCACGCCCAGCTAATTTTTTTATTTTTAGAAGAGACAGGGTTTCACCATATCGGCCAGGCTGGTCTCGAACTCCTGAACTTGTGATCCGCCTGCTTCAGCCTCCCAAAGTGCTGTGATTACAGGCGTGAGCCACAGCATGTGGCCAAAAATAAGGATTTTTAATTGCAAAAACCAGTTCAGGTTTAAATGGTCCTACACCTTAAGGATAGATGGTGTCCTGGATGGGGAAGGGGTATGCATCACAGATGCATTGATGCTGTATGCTGACACACGTGCAACTAAACTCATTAAATAATGCTAAAGATTTTTCCTGGAAATGACTTCCTGGACCTTCCTTCCCATGTCCCCTCCTTTTGGTTGGAACGCTTTGAAATAATGACTTAAGAATTTTCAGGGAGTGATTTTGACTATATGCAACTCTTACGTGCTGACTTTCAAACACAATCCCACCTATACTGTAGCTCCACTTCGTTCAAGTTACAGTGAGTAGTCTGTTATTACAGTGGTGCAAGTCAGTGGGAAGCAGGACGCAAAGAATATCAAATCGGGACCTTCCCTTGGTTCAAGTTTTCAAGCCACTTTCCAGCAGTTGGGAGAAATGCCTTTTATTTTCAAACCTGCCTGTCGAGTTTTTATCAGCTAAGATGGTCTTTTTCTAGATTACCTCATGGTGACCCACTGATAATTGGGGTATGTTGAAATGCCATTTCCTAACGGTGAGAGCAGCCTCTTAAGTCTTCTGGAAGCTTTTCCTGCCTGACGCTTTGGTGAAACATGCCTCAACTGGTACCAAGTTATTGCTCAGCAGGGGATTGGAAGTAAGGGTCACAACAGGCAGGGGGAAGCAAAATAGAAACACTGCCTGATACTTTGCTATATCCACGTATTCAACATCTTCTACTTCAATAGGGAAAGAAAATTTCCATCACTCAAGCTGAATGGTTCTCAAATGGTGGTGTAGAACCTAGAGATGATCCTTGAGCCCCATCTCAAGGACTCAGTACTAGCAGTCTGAGGTCTAAGGGTAAAGGAACTACCCTTCTGTACGCCAATACTTATTTGGCAATAAGATTGAGTCATTTCTAGCATGAAGCATTTCAGATGGGAAACTCCCATCTTTAATACACCCAGTTTTCAAATCTGGCACTATTTTGTTCCTGTCAGAAATGGATGTCTTGCCGGGCGCGGTGGCTCCAGCCTGTAATCCCAGCACTTTGGGAGGCCGAGGCGGGTGGATCACGAGGTCAAGAGATCGAGACCATCCTGGTCAACATGGTGAAACCCCGTCCCTAAAAATACAAAAAATTAGCTGGGCAGGCTGGCGCGTGCTTGTAATCCCAGCTACTCAGGAGGCTGAGGCAGGAGAATTGCCTGAACCCAGGAGGCGGAGGTTGCGGTGAGCCGAGATCGCGCCATTGCACTCCAGCCTGGGTAATGAGAGCGNAAAAAAAAAAAAAAAAAAAAAAAGGATGTCTTTACAAAGGGGCAGGCATTTGGATCAAACTGACAGACAATTCTAGAGCAGTATGAGAGGGAGATACCCCTTCTGCTTGGCTCTCAAGAGAGAATGAAGCTGTTGATATTCTTCTCTCCCTATACTGCACAATGACAAGGAACGAAAGCTAGGATGAGAAAATGCTCCATGTGATGAACAGGGAGAGAAACCACAGCCCTAGCTGGTCTGTGGAACTCATTCCCACAAAAAAAGAGGGCCAAAAACCACCCCTCCCCAGACTCCCCGACAAAAACAAAACAAAAAAAACCACTCTAGGATACTTTAGTTTTCTCATGTTAGAATTGTTCAGCCTACATTTGTAAGCATCCTCTTGGAGGTGGAACATTGCCATAGCCTAATGTTAAATGATCTCCAGATTATTTGGAAAGCAAACAGCAACAATATTCTTTTAAAATGGCTTTTATTGAGACACTTTTAGGGATTCTGCAATATTTCCAGCTGGGAATCTTTATTTCCAACTCTTAGGGTGCCTAAGCCCTTTTCTGAATGCCAAAAAACAAACATACTCCCACCACCTTAATAAGAAAACATACTTATCTGTCTGTTCCAATATCCATCTGGGACCTGGACCCCGAGCCTTGTGCTGTCTGTACAAGTCTCACTAGTCCTTCATGTAGAACTCAGAAGCTCAAGCTAAGCTTTTCCCACTTGTTAATCAGGGAGGGTAATTTCCAAATGTGAGCTGGCCTAAATTCAGCTGGTATTTCTGATTTGGTAATCTGTGGGGACATCCTGTCCTAAATTTTGGCTGGTGCATGTAGAATTTATAATCTACCTGTATAACAGATTTAACATAGCTCCGTTCCTGCCCTGAAAGGTTCTAGTCTATTCTTGCACTTGTACATTTTAGGGAGAGGCTGGTCAAATCTCTACTCTCTGGCAACAGCATTAGCAAGTCTTTTGGAAAGGGACTCAGAAGTTAAGGACATCAGCCACTTCAGACTTTAGGCCAGTATCCTTGAGAGATGACTGACCAGCCTCCTTGTGGATTGGAGCATCCCATCAACTAACTGCTGGAAATGTTGGCCAAATTCTGCTTCCCTGTAACGTTCCACTTTTTAGTGTAAGTTGCTCATGGGAATCTACGCACAGTAAAAATACCAGCTCCTTCCATCTTGACAGCCCTTTAAGTGTGTACTCTTCAAAGCCTTTCCCTTAATAGCAAGATGGCCAAGAGTGGCAAGAGGCAGAGCTGCCTGCACTACAATTGTTCCCATTGTTAAGGTGAAAATGAACACTTAACTTCATCTAGAAGAAAATCCCACCAGGCTATTAAAATTCTGCTTTCGAATTAATGTCAATCCCTGTTTACATCCTTTTAGAAGTCACTGAGACATTTACATATATATGCACACTCTGCTCCTTAACAAAGGGTGAACTGAAAAACTCAAGGATGTTTACTTTTCAGTTAAAAGGTAAAAAACCACAAAACACATTCTGTACCAGGTGCCTCAAGAGAAAGTATTCTTTATGCAGATGACAGATGTTGGTTTTCCACAAGTTTCCTCTGTGACTGTGGCTGCCATCTGTGAAGAGTTATGGCATTAAATGGCACAAGATAAAATGGACACAAAAGACTGTTGTGTAATAAAGCAAATATTTACATTAAGCACAATACAGCAATTTATTTAGATGCTTAAAATGAATACAAAGGGAAATAAAGATCACAAAATTATACATACTACAACAGTGTGTCATATATTAGATGGTATAAATGAATACACCAGGATGGTGTTAACTAAAGATAAAACTAAATATCCAAAATGCAGCACTCATTGGTTTGCTGCTTCAACACAACACACTTTTATACAGATCTAAAAGGTGTCAAAATTAGTAGCTGCAAAGTCAATTCTTGCATGTGATTTTAGCTTAAAAGATTTCAGAAAACATCTGAAATACCAGTTTTTGTTTTTGACAGCTGTAAATGTCAAGGATATTCAGAACAAGAAAAATCCTATAATACAAGAGAGTCCAGATATATATCTTACGTGGCTGGCCTCTGTTGCAAGATTGTACAAGGTTATGTGCAAAAACTAAGTCTGTCCAAAAGTCCATACTAGCGCAGTTTTGAGCTTTTGCTAGGTAAACTAGATACAGCGTTTATTACACAGCAAGGTCAACACTAAAAAAAGAAATCTATGATGGGCACACAGTAACAGTATCATGAGCATCACTTGAATAGGTCTAAAAGACTGTACAAATATACATTTCAACTATTCAGAATGAATACATGAAAAAAAATCGCTTTTCCCAAAGTCTACTATACACATTAGACTGGTAGCTTTTACGTTGGCCCTACACTACCATGTGAATTAGGTTAACACTTCTCAAAGACATCAGACCAATCATTTTACAGAGGGAAAGAAATGTTGAAAAGGCAGATAAAATAAACCTCTGCTTTTCCTCATGTGTATTCATGAGCCACCAGCTTATTGGTTTTCACATTTAGTTACTGTGTCTGTCAGAGAAGGTTCTGAAGCAAGATCAGCCTATCGTGTCATAGACTTAGAAATACCACTGGAACTCAGTGGCCACATGTCCCACAGTCCAACCAGTACTCACAAGGCGGTACCAGTTAGAAGACAGCTTTGCAATCACACTGAATGGAGATTAGAGTTCTAGGCTGCAGCATGTCACCGACGCCAGGGAACCTGGCACTCAGGCCTGTTGGCTGCTCAGTTTAACTCCAGCTAAGCTGCCATGCATCGGCTCAGCTACTCCATCAGTCATGTTGTCAAACTGTTCCCCATCCTCACTGTCAATTGTGCTATTCTGCCACTCAATCTGGGGGTTAGATAAGCGCTCATCATTCTCAGATGCATTCTTCCACTGTGACTGGTCCTTGGACCAAAACCCTTCAACTTTTCCATAGGAACTATTCTTCCATTTCAACTGCTCTCTGTCACCTTGCATGGTAGCCTTTTTTTTAGCAGCTGGCTTACTGCTCCTTGCATCTTCACTTTGGGAAGACTCATCAGACCAGGTTCCTGGTTTCATTTCGCAGGTATTGTCCTCAAAGTCTGACACTTGTTGGGACCCAGGCCCACTCTCAGATGGAGAAGCACCATCTTTCCACTCAACAACATCGTCTTGGTCAACCTCACTATCAGAAGCGTTGTGCATTAGTTTGGTTGGTTCCTCAGTCAAATGAAGAGTTTCGTATTTTGAACCATCCTCCTCTTTTTGGTCTAGCTTCTCCTCAGATTCTAAAGCATCCTCAGGAATTACCTTCAGTACATGTTCCTCTGGGTTATCATTAGGGATTTTAGGCTCAACTTCAAAAACGGGTTCAAAAGGGCTACCACTTTCATTGGATTCTTCTTCCAAATTTTCAAAACTGTCTGAGGAACTGTCATCTTCTTTCCCAAGGTTGAGCTTTTTGTCAGCAGTCTTACTAGCATTGACTCTGGAATCCTTCTCATCATGATTTTCAAATAGCCACTCTGCATCAAAATCCATCTCATGCTTGACTTTATTTAATTCTTTCATGTTAAACCCCAGCAACACGCCAGGCTTGTACTTTTCACAATCACGGACACACTTCTTCCTTTTGTTACTAAAATGGGAAGCAATGTCACTCTTCCATAACCATAAACTGGCTGCTAGCTTCTCAATTTCTCTCCTGGTGGGATAGGGTTGCTTGTTAAAATACTTTGTTAGAAAGCTTTTCCTGGCTTCATAGGAATCATCTTCATGACCCTTGGGGTCTAAAGCTAAAACAACAGGCTCTTCAGGCTTCTCCTCAAAGAAGCTGGGTGAATCACTATCGTCATCTAACTTCCGTTTTTTCAGTAAGGGAAATTCCATTTGCTCGTAAGTGCGCTTCACAGGTGCCAGGCTGGGAGACTGATTAAGCCGAGAGGGTGCATTTGTCTTATCCTGGCCGTTTTGGGTCTTTCCAACTCCCCTGCAGTGAACTAGATGCAGAGTGATAGTCGAGGCGGTCATGTTGCTGGTATACACACCAAGGCAATGGATACATTTGTAGGTGAGCTTTTTCTCAACTGGATGAACTGTCTGAATAACCTGGTGCCTCTCTCGTAGGTGATGTGCAAGTGCATCTGATATGGGTCCTTTTAGGATTGAAAAGCAAAGAGGACAAAGGGTTTTCCCAACATCTTTTTTATAGGGCACTGCAGCTTGAGGTGAACTTTTAACAGGGATATCTGCCTTTTCCTGAACTTTTGGCTGTGGCTTTGGAGGAACTGGAGGGTTATTTTGGGCATGGTAAGCAACAGATTCAGCTGGGGCATCTCTCAGGTTGTACGTGGTTACCAGGAGATGGATGTTAGTGTGACTGCCCTGCTGCAATGTCAAATCAAAACTCAAAGTAGAATCTGTTTTAGGTCCCATCTCTTCATCAATGTGAACCATCCGCATGTGTGCGGCCATCTTTTCCACATCATTGAAAGTTGAACGGCAATATGGACAAGACAGACCATGAATTAACATATGGTTGAGCAGGGTATCTGTGGGCAAATAGCGATTACAGTACAGGCATTTGCTAGTAAAATTGTGTATTTTCATAATGTAGTTGGCTACTGCTGGGACTTTCTCAGCTTTATGTTCTTTTTCGAAGTGCACACTATAGACATTTTCAGGAAAAAGCTCATTACAGATTGTACATATTTTCCACTTTTGAGTTGAGGAAGTGTTACCTGGGGGAGGGCCTGTGGCAGCTGCAGTAGGTTTAGAGCTGGACTGACCTAACACTCTGGATGCCTGCGACTGGGAGAGGGAAGGAGACTTTAACTGGCCCGACGAGAGAGAAGAGGCATTGGCAGACTGCAGGGAGTATCTTGCTGGTGCCTGGGACCTCTGCTCAGACCCAAGCCCATAAGACCTTCCATTTCCACTTGGAAGTAACTGCTTTACAGACTGAGATTGTTGAGGAATGGAAACTGGTGCATTGCCCCCTAGACCCAGTCTCATTGACTGACCAACACTGTAACCCTGACCTACAGATTTGACTCCATAGTTGTTCTGCTGTAGGTGAACATTGGACATCATGTTGACTCCTGTAGAATTTAAGTTAGGCTTTGGTATCGAGAGTCGATTCACCATCTGCTGTGATGGTAAAGACCGGACATTTCCAGAAGCAAGGGAACCAATTCTTGGTGGGAGTCCCATACTCTTCTTGTCTTGAGGTTTGGGAGCAATTAGCATCAAGGGTTTGGATCGGGGGACCACTACATTTGTGTGACCAATCATGGCAGTGACCTGATAGCCAATACGTTCGTGGTCTTCGATGACATGCTGTACCAAAGCTTCATAGGACTTTGGCATGAAAAGGCATCGCTTGCAGTGAATACTACTCTCTTCTCGGGCATTTGAGCCTAAGGGGACTGCGCCATTGAGTGATTTTTCTCCTGCCTTTGCTATGTAAGGTGCTGCCACGTGCTGAAAATGTTCCCTGTAAATGTGCTTCCTAACTATTTCGTAAAGAGGATCTCGGTAAGTGCACTTCTTACAGTAATAAACAGCTTGCTCTACACTGTCAGCCTGCTTAGGTTTAAGGCCATCATTTTTGTTTTTATCTTTGAAAGTGCTGAGGCTGCTACTTGGTGCGCTGGCGTTTGGAGCATGAAATATTTTAATGTGTGTTTCCAAAGTCTTTTTGTCTGCATTGAAGGTACAGTAGGGGCAATTAAGGAGAATCCTATTTTCAAAGTCTTCACTATGGACATTTCGGAAATGACTTTTGTAGGCAGAGAAGAATTTTGAGGAAAATGGACAAGCGCTGCAGCAGAAAGGTTTTGTCCGATAGTCCTAAAGTAAACAAACACAACTAGAATTAGAATGCCACTTCAGATAAGCAGTTACCAGATTCCAGATGCCCCCCATTCTTAATAATGCACTGATTTTAGTCTGTTGTTTTTTTTTTGTACAGTAACTTTATAAAACAGAAAAAACTAAAAAAAAGCTAGCGTATTTTTGAGTGTAAATTAAAGTCAATGCTAAGTTCTTTCTCAATGTTTAGAAAAGGTCACATTAGACAAACCAAAGACTAATGAGTTCAAGATAAACATTTTGCAGCTAGAAATGACAAGAAAAACCTAAATGAAGGAAGTCACTAAAGACTTCAGGTTTACCATACAGTCATGTGTTGCTAAACCACAGAAATACATTCCAAAAAATACATGATGGTGTGAAATCCTAGAGTGTATTCGCACAGACCTAGACAGTACAACCTACTACATATCTAGGCTACATGGCATAGCCTATTGCTCTTACGTTACAAACCTGTACAGTATGTTTCTGTACTGAATACCCCAGGCAATGATTAGCACAATGGTAAATATTTGTGTTTTTAAACATAGCTAAGCACAGAAAAGGTATAGTAAAAGACAACATAACTAGTAAACTATACTATATAGGGCAGTCACCATGATTTGCTTACAGGACTGAAGTTGCTCTGGGTGAGACAATAGATATGAAAGCCTGGGATACTACTGTACAATGCTGTAGACTTTATGAACACTTAGCTACACAAACTTACTAAAAAAAATAATCATGTGTTTTTTCTCACTGTTGCTCAGGCTGGAGTGCAGTGGCACAATCACAGCTCACTGCAGCCTCAACCTCTTGAGCTCCTACCTCCAGCTCAGCCCTGGAGACTTACAGGAGTCTGCCACCACACTTGAGTAAATTTTGTTGAGACAGGGTTTCACTCCGTTGCCCAGGCTGGCCTTGAACTCCTGGGCTCAAGCAATCCTCCTGCCTTGGGTTCCCAAAGTGCTGGGATTGCAAGCCACTGTGCCCAGCCCTAAAAAAATATTTTTTCTTCAATAACAAATGAACTTCAGCTTGCTCTAAATTTATATGCTTTTAAATTTTTGGCTTTTTGACTCTTTCGTAGTAATACTTACCTTAAAACACAAACACAATTGGCCAGGTGCTGGGCCTCATGCCTGTAATCCCAGCACTTTGGGAGGCCCAGGTGGGTGGAACACCTGAAGTCAGGAGTTTGAGACCAACCTGACCAACATGGTGAAACTCTGGCTCTACTGAAAATGCAAAAAATAGCTGGGCGTGGTGGCAAGCACCTATAATCCCAGCTACTCAGGAGGCTGAGGCAGGACAATCGCTTAAACCCAGAAGGCAGAGGTTGCAGTGAGCCAAGATCGTGCCACAGCACTCTAGCCTGGGCAACAGAGTTAAACACCAAAAACCAAAACACAAACACATTGTAGGACTGTACAAAAATATTTTCTATCTTTATATACCTATTCTATAATCCTTTTTCTATTACAATTTTGAAACCTTTTTTTCCCCCCCTTAAAAACGAAGACACAAATGCATACCTTAGTCTAGGCCTACAGAGTGAGGATCAACATCACTATCTTCCATCTTCGTAACTTGTCCCACTAGAGGGTCTTCAGGAATAATAACACACGTGTTATCGTGGGAGCTGCCACCTCCCATGATAACAATGCCTTCTTCTGAATAACTGTGGAAGGACCTGCCTGAGGCTCTTATTGAGGCGGCGGCACACTGATCAGAATATGTCCATGGTGCTTCGATTCCTTTTTTCATCACAGATTTGCTTGTATACAGATAATGACCCATGAACATTCTTCTCTATTAATGAACACAATTTCGCATTGAGATCCATGTTTTCAAACTTAAGGAGCTTGCTGAGGTCTGCAAAAGCTTCTGCTAAATCCTTCACTGTATATTTTCTTGGGGGGTTCTTTTGCTTTTCCTGCAGTTTCCTTTTCTCTTTCCTCTTCAGCTATGCATTCTTATTCCAGTTCCCACAGCTCCTCACCAGTTAATTCCTCAGGAACTACCTCTAGATCATCCTCTAAGGTCATCCTCATCAACAAACAGGTTAAAGTCGTTTGCCATCTCAATCAGAAACCTTGTGATTTATGCAAATCCTCTCAAGTCATGGACAAACCTCCTGAGTGTATATTTTTAGATGTCATGCATATACTCCTTGTTGAAATTACCCCAAGCCCAAGCAAGATTCTTAATGCAGTCACAGATATTGTAATCCTTCCAGAATTATATCAGAATCTTCTCAGTGTCTTCCCCAGCTGCGATGACAAGGCAAAGGACTTTCTCAGACAGAAGGCCTTAAAAGCTGCTGTAACTCCATCAGTTGGATCAAAGAGGTGGTGTTTGCTTATTATTGACAATAAACAAAAGCTTAAAAGGTATGTTATTCTCTCAATACTACCTCTCCATTTTGCAGGCATATCAATTCAGGAGGTCATCTTGGTAGAGTCACCCATGACTTCATGTGGCTCCTGCAGTGCACTGGCCAAGTGTGTGTGTGTGTGTGTGTGTGTACTGATATGCCTGAAGCCCCTAGGGTTCTCACTGTGCCACAAATCACAAAGGGTTTCAATTTGTAGCCTGTAACATTGCCCTCAAGCAAGACTGTCATCCGTCCTTAAAAGCCTTGAAACCTTGCATTGCTTTGGCCTCCTTATGTATCAAAGTCCTTTTATCTGTTTCCAGAATACAAAGGACTCATCCATGTTGAAAATTTGCTCTGCCTAGTAATCTTCCTCCAGACTCACTTATCTAGAGCTTCCCAAAATTCTTCAGCTGCCTTCACATCAGTACTCACAGACTCACTTTTCCAATATGTAATGAGTAATGATTCTTGAATTGTTTAAACCACCCAGAACTAGCAGTAAATTCAACATCACAGCCAGGTCCAGCCTTTTCTTTCTTTCGTTTTTTTTTTGAGACGGAGTTTCACTCATGTTACCCAGGCTGGAGTGCAATGGCGTTATCTCGGCTCACCGCAACCTCCACCTCCTGGGTTCAGGCAATTCTCCTGCCTCGGCCTCCTGAGTGGCTGGGATTACAGGCACGCACCACCATGCCCAGCTAATTTTTTGTATTTTTAGTAGAGACGGGGTTTCACCATGTTGACCAGGATGGTCTCGATCTCTTGACCTCGTGATCCACCCGCCTCGACCTCCCAAAGTGCTGGGATTACAGGCTTGAGCCACCACGCCCGGCCTAGGTCCAGCCTTTTCTTTCAACACTGCCAACAAACTTTTTGCTTTGACTGTGATCATCATGGTGCTGAGAGGTACACCGCACCATGTGTATCTGTGTCTGGTCTTCAAGCTGGGTCATCAGAAGCTTCTGTCTGTCTGATAAAGGTCCTTCTTGAATTTTTGTTAGTCTCACTGCCTTCAATGAAGCAGATGCTTTAAGAGCTTCTGTCACTTTGTTCTTGTTCTTCAAGATTGTAGCTATGGTGGAATAAGACATGCCTGACTGGCAAGAATTTACCATCACTGATTTTCCACCTTTGTAGTCCCTTAATCATTTGTTTCCGGGTCAATCACTCAACATGGCCTCTTACTGGCAACATTATAGACTTTGTACGCTAAGGGGCCATGATGAACAAAATACCATGAGATTAAACCAGCACAAGAGAAAATGATGCAATAAAAAGATACAGTAAACACGAGATATATGAGGCTGCTACCAGTTTACCATGAAACGCTGTTTTAAAGTAAACTTTTTTATTAAGTACATTCTAATAAAAAGTATATATAGCAAATAAACTGGTAATGTAGTTTTTAATTATCATATGAAGTAGTCATGTGCTGATGTTTCTGTCTAGTACAGACTGCATATGCAACTATGTTCCCTAAGACTATAATGGGGCTGAAAAATTTCTGTCACTTAGTATTTACTGTATAGTTGACCCGTCAACATGGGTTTGAACTACTTATATGTGGATTTTTTCCAAACAAATTCAGATGAGAGATACAATATGCTTGGGATGCAAAAATCTCCTATACAGAGGGCTAGCTTTTGGTATATGCAGGTTCCTCAGGGCCAACTGTGGGACTTGAGTATGCAAGGATTTTGGTAATGAGCTTTTAATCATTATTGGAGTGTACCACTTCTACTTATTTTTTAAAAACAATGTTAACTCTAAAACAGCCTCAGGGAGGTCCCTTCAGGAAGTGTCCAGAAGGCACTCCATCATGGCTGATGGCTCCATGTGTGTTACTACTCCTGAAAACCTTCCAGTGGGACAAGGTGGCAATCTAATTTTGTCTCTGTGTCTTAGTTTTTAACAGTTTAAAAAGTTTAAAAAAAAAAAAAGGTTTAAGACTAGAAAAAAGCTTTTAAGTATATAAGGACAAAATATTTTTGTACAGCTGTACAATGTGTTCGTGTTTTGAGTATTACAAAAGATTCAAAAGCTAAAAATTTTAAAGTTTGTAAAATAAATTTATGTAGCCGAAGTGTGTTTATAAAGTCTACAGTGATGTACAGTACGTCCCCCTTCATAGTCACTCACCACTCAGCAACTTCCAGTCCCTCAAGTGCCCTATACAAATGTACCAAGTTTTTATTTTTTATACTGTATTTGTAATGTACCTCTTCTATGTATCACTATGTTTAGAAACACAAATACTTACCATTGTATTAGTCACTCTTACAGTAGTCAGTATAGTCACATGCCATACAGGTTTGCAGCCTAGGAGCAACGGGCCATACCACATAGCTTAGGTGTACAGTAGGCTATACCACCTAGGTCTGTGTAAGTACCCTTTATGAAGTTTGTACAACAACGAAATCACCTAACAAGGAATTTCTCAGAATGCATCACATCATTAAGCAATGCATCATGGTATTATGTGCTATAAATAACTATATGTGCTATACTTCTATATGACTGACAACACAGGTGTGTTTACACTAGCATCACTACAGACATGTGTATGTTGTGCTATGATGTCATTAGGTAATAGAGGTTTTTCAGCTCAATTATAATCTTACGGGATCACTGCTGTAGATGAAGTCCGTCACTGACCAAAATGTCGTTATGTGGTACATGACTGCAGTAAAATTCAGGGCCAGAATATTTTAGTACAATTAGACAATTTTAACAGATAAAGCTATACCCTTTTATTCCTTTCCCCATTATGGAGAAATTTTCATAGAAAAAAGGCAAATCTCCATTTTTTTCTCTGATTAAAGTATAGGGTAGTATCAGATTCAGTGCTGATCAAAAAAATGACTGATTTCAAAAGTTGGCTTTCTTCTTTAAGCCATGCTGCTCTTTCTCAACCAATAACACTTCAAAACAGTTAATGAAGTAACAGCTGCTTTGATTCAAATCAAGAAGTTAAATAAAATGTCCTACAGACTGTGTGGAGGGTGTGGTATTTAAAAGCCAATAATGGATTATGGAATATACTGATATCAAAGAGCAACTTTCAGAATTAGGATTGTTAACACTTATCTAGTCAGTCCTTTGATGATGATAGGTTAACTGACATATGCATGGCAAGAGATGATCTTTTCTCCCTAGAAACCAACTTTGTTTCAGATATTGGTTTGAACTAAGATGAAATACTCTGCTTCTCCTCAAAGCTCAACTCTTTAGTATTCAGCTACGAGGCTTTCAGATTGATAAAACTGAATTAAATAGATGATGTGTCCCACTGGAAAGCATTCTCATTCTAAGACTGCTGGCTAGTACCTTTGCCTAGGGTACTAAAAAAAAAAAAAAAAAAAAAAAAAAAAGTCATCAAATTTTGGAGGTGAAGTTTAGAAGTACTAATTCCCTGAAGAGTTTGTTCCAATAGATGAACAGATCATTAACGTAGAATGAGACTCACTCCCCCTCAATACATGACATCATCACGTATTGATATCTGCTGGCACTGCTAATATTGTTTATAATGCCAGTATGCAAAAAGTTAAGTCTTATCTCTGTCACTGCCGTCCTACAGAGGACGTCCTTCCCAGGCCTCCCATAGAAGTTGGATGCCATCAACATAGAGAACTAAGAAAAGCTTAATTGTAAGGAAGGGTCTGGTCTTTTTCTGTGCAGAAAAAACAAGAATGGCAACACAGACACAGAAACACAGAAGACGCAGAAAGATAGAAGAGCCAGAGTGCTTTAGGGGAAATGCTGGTATACAGCAGGCTCCGTAACTTTTAAGTAACAAAATTTCCCTTTCTTCTTAAACCTAAAGTTTCAGTCCATTGACAAAAACAAAGTTTTTCTTAGTCTTCCCACTGCTCAGGAAAATACGAAATGCAATTTTGACACTTTCCACATTAGGTTGTTGCCTAGAATCACTGCATCGCTTAAAAAAGGCCTAGAACTGAAAAGGGAGTATACCATGCTGCCATTTGAGGAAGTCTCCTGTGCCACTCACCTGGTTTTTCGTAAGTGAAGGGTCCCACAGTCCTACATCCTCCCATGTAGTGTTTTTCAAATAAAAGTCATTAGGTTCAAATTGTTTAAAATCCTAGAAAACAGTGAGAGAAGTTTACGAAAACATAGCGGTATAAACGCTAACCCAACCTTACATATAAATCTGACTTCTAACTAAGATGGAGAGAGGACAGGAAAACCAACCCCATCAAGAACTTAAACTAGGAGTGATAAGGCTCTTAAATACAAAAAGGCATACGGAAGTTGCAGTCTACATTTTATATCAACCAACCACTCTCCTGATGGTCAGCCAGGTTTCCAAGGAAACTGCTGAAGTTCTAATTCAGTAAAAAATTCAGCCACACACTAATATCAAAGCACTTTTCATTAGAGTACCGTAACTTATCGGTTAGAGTACTGGAATAGTGTCTAAAATAGCAATGTTTGCTTATAGCCCTGCAGATATAATTTCTGGTTCTGTGCAAAAAAAAAAAAAAAAAAAAAAATTTTTTTTTTTGAGGGGAGGGGGCAGGACATCAGATCAGAATGAAAACTCAGAATTTCAAACCCAAAAAGGCATAAAGAAAGCTATTCAAAGAAAGTTAAGCCATATGATGTTAAATTTATACTCTAATGTAAAAATTTAATGGCCCACTTCCCTCCAGACTAGGAAGATTAAAAGTAATTAGGGTAAAATCCCACTTGTTCCTGAAAGGTTCACAGTTCAAGGTAGAAAACGAAGTATACACGTAAATAATCATAGGAGGAACAAATCAAATGCATGACAGAAAACATACTGTGATGTTGGCATTAATTGTTTCTATGAAGATGATCCACAGAGTGCAAAGTGAATAGACTGCTTCATTTGGGCAGATCTACCTGAACTTTGGGTTTGGAGAAAGGCTACTTCCACACTTGGAACATAACTAGAGAAGTCGACTTTTGAGCAGCTTCAGTTTCCAAGATATACTCTTCAAGCATTAGTGGAACTCAAAATAAGAAAATTTGTTGCATGAATGAATCTGCTTTTTTACTTCCAATTCCATTCAAACATCTAACTGACCACCTAGTATGTGCAAAACACTGTGCTAGGTGCTGGGGACAAATGGATAAACAGGGTAGCTATGGTCCCTAGCCAGCTACAACTTAAAAGGTTAGTAGGGGAAACAGCTTCAAACTTTTCTTTTCAATCCGGGACTTCGACCAATAAACCGTAAGACCTCGAACAGTGAGATGTGGAAAAGGAGGAGACCGCTGCATGGCTATCTCACAGGGCTGTGATAAAGCTCACAGAATAAAACAGCTTGAAAAACAGTTCATAAAGCGCAAACTGTTACACAAGGGGGAAAATAATAGTCTACGATGGGTCAAAAGGGGCAACAAATGCTCAAATCCTAAGGAAAGAGACAACAAGCACCCACACAACCATGCCTCAACAATTAGAAGAAGGTCAACCAGAACATTCAGGCATTATCAGAATGAGAACAGGCTTTGAGTCCCACAGACACTGCCACTTTCTCAGCTGCAAGGCTGGGCCTATTTTATTTGTTCTTCATCTGTAAAGTGGATATAAGAATTCCTACACTGCCTCCCGCCTCCATGGTCGTTTTAAGAAATAAAGGTACAGACAACTTGACAGCACCTAGTACAACTGCCTGACATGCTGAAGTCCTCAATGGTAGCCTTTTGCTTCAGGATGCAAAAATGAAAAAGCCCATTTTAGGGAGAAGGGCACAAGTTATGCTATTGAGAATGCTTTTGTGAAGCTACTGCTGTGGCTGAAATTCAGAATCACATCTAAGAATTAGCCATCTTGGCCACTGACACAAAGTAATGGATCAGAAGCTGAGTCATGTTAAAATTTAAAAATGACATGCTACTTACTTCTATATGTTCTTTACAGTATTCCAACCCAATGTCACTAAGTATTTTTTTCACAGTTTTCCGGGCTTTTCTTAAACTGCCAAGATTGTTGACAGGAAGTTGGAACATAGTTTCTATTGGAAAGAAAAATTTAAGTCAAAGTCAAAACACGTACAACTTGTAATATTTACTAATTCCACTGATGACAGGATCATAAACCCTACCCATCTGACAAAAAAGGTGCATAGGTATCCTCATCTAGTGTGAACACACACACACACACGCTTGCATGTGCATATGGCTCGCTCCATCCATCCATCCATCCATCCATCTTTTTTTTTTTTTAAAGACAGTCTTGCTCTGTTGCCTAGGCTGGAGTGCAGTACACTGATGGTTCACCATAGCCTCAACCTTCTGGGCTCAAGTGATCCTCTCACCTCAGCTTCCCAAGAGGATGGGACTCCAGGAGTGCGCCACCATGCCCGACTAATTTTCAAAAATTTTACATAGTGACTAGATCTCACTATGTTGCCCAGGCTGGTCACGAACTCCTGGACTCAAGTCATCCTCTCCCCCTGACCTCCCAAAGTGCTAGCATTACAGGCGTGAGCTACTGGGCCAGGCACGTATCTACCACGTTTTGAACACTTAAAAGTGGGCAAAGTAAGTACTCTCTGATCTTCCTAGTTTTTAAGAGGACATTTTGACTGAGTCTAATCTGGCATAATTCTGATTAGACTTAAAACAGTTCAGCGATGAACTTATAGTTGAGAATTAGAGAAATAATAGCAACCAATTAGTTTTAAATCAAGTGCTAGTGCTTTTCTCCTTCTGATGTTAAACTTCTGAGAACAGAAAAGTGCTTACCATTTCATCATCATTACACAGTTTTGAGTGCCAGGGTAGAGAGGATTTTGTTGAATTGGAACTGTCCTGCCTACTGCTATGGTATTCTTAAAAAACAAAAACAAAAACTTTACAGTTTCTGTATACTGCCCAAATTAACGACAGTAAACATATGTGACTTGACCAAAACATGCCCAGTTTACCCCTGTCTGCAACATACCTGGGCAAAGGCACTCACAAATGGCAACTGTTAGACTTTAAGGAGGATCCTTTGAAATCATGAAAAGCCTATATGTGTGTAAGGAAACTGAAAAATTATTTGAATGACTGAATACATTAAATCAGCTATTTAGATCAACTTTCCCAAGTTCCTTAAAAACAAAAGTTTGTCTTTAATGAGAAAATAAAATCAATAAAACTTGGGCAGTTGGGAATATGTATGGTTTCTAATGTGATCATAAATGCTTCCTATAATATGGTAAAAAGCTGTCAATTTAATAATCCAAGTCTAACACAATTTTACAGGATATAAAGTAGTTCTAAAATCCAAAACAGCAAAAACAAAAGGCAAAGCACCAAGAATGGAAAATTAATATATGCAAATCCAGTGGTCTAATAAAGGCTGTTACTCTGTAATACCAGTATCATCTGTAAACTGCAACTAATCCAAATATAAAATGTTGCCTCATTATTTTAATCCAAAATTAATGTCAACTATAAGAAATCAAAAATAAAAAGTGAAATCTATCAAAATCAAACTGTAACTCCTAGAAAATTTGAAACTGGGTATGTTACACTAACTTAGAATTCTCAAAATATTCTCTATCAAGTACCAAAGTTTAATTGGGGCCAAAAGAGTAAAGTATTTCGAAAAAACCTCAGCCTTATCACACGCAAGACAGAACTGTTGTTCACTATGAACCAATGACTATAGTGTCCCTTGCCCTCTGCCATGCTAGTAGTTTACATATTGTGCAGCCAAATGCAGATTTAGAAGTCTACTCTGACATAAATTAAGACCAAAGCAATTTTTTTGGTCCAAATTTTATCACTGAATGATTTAAGCCACCACAAAAAGATGGTTTCAAATCACCTTTCTGTGGTGGCTTAAAAACAGAAAATTCTTCATCAGTTGGTTCCTTTAAAACAGTTACTACATACCAAGTCTTTTTTAGAGAGATGCACATATTAGAAAAATATTTCAGAAATACAGAAAAGTGTTACAGGTCAATTCTGAAGAAACTGGGTATTAAAATGGATGCCCACAGACACCTAAGACTGGGAAGAGACATCTTGTTTCTCTATTCATTTCATAGACTATGTGCCAAAATTCAGGTATCTGGGAACTTTCTCAGTTAACCCTGCTTCACACTTCATAAGAGATGTGTCCAGAAGCCAGCCGTTACTGGTTTCCCTGCCTCCTGGATGAGTGACTCAACAATGTCAGCAAAACAAAGACATAAAGATTTGGAAATGCAGCCACCACTGAGGTCATTAGTCTATAGAAAACATAAAATAAGAATCAAGTTGCAGCTTGGGGTAAAGAAAATCCCATTCTCCTAAGTGCCTACCCATAGCTTTAAAAGTCAGTTTAAGACATTAAGATGAAACATGTCACTGCCTCGTAGGTATTTTTTCCTGAAAAAGTGAGTATGCCTATAAAGGAGTTCAGTTGTAAGAAACTTGTAATTTATTAAAAGCGGTATTTCAGCCACAGAGTTGGTGTTGGGTTTACTTAACTATGTTGAATTTAAAAGACTTATAAATAAAACAGTGACACTGCTTATTGGATATGCTATATCAAAAAATGTTATTTTGCTGTAGGCTTTTACAACTAGGAATAATCTGTATTTTTTCTTGAGACAGGGTTCCACTTTTTTTTTTTTTTTAGATGGAGTTTCACTCTTGTCGCCCAGGCTGGAGTGCAACAGCGCAATCTTGACTCACTGCAACCTCTGTCTCCCAGGTTCTAGCAATTCTCTTTCCTCAGCCTCCCAAGTAGCTGGGATTACAGGCATGTGCCACCACATCCCACTGATTTTTGTATTTTTACTAGAGACGGGGTTTCACCATGTTGGCCAGGCTGGTCTCGAACTCCTGCCCTCAGGTGATCTACCCGCCTGGGCCTCCCAAAGTGCTGGAATTACAGGGGTGAGCCACTGCACCTGGCCAGGGTTCCACTTTTCATCCAGGCTGGAGTGTAGTGGTACAATCACAGCTCACTGCAGCCTCGACCTCCTGGGCAGAATTGGTCTTCCCACCTCAGCCCCACCAGGCAGCGGGGACCATAGGTCCACACTACCACACCTGGCTAACTTTTTGGTATTTTTTGTAGAGATGGGGTTTTGCTATGTTGCCCAAGCCAGTCCTGAACTCCTGAGCAAGTGATTTGCTCGCCTTGGCCTCCCAAAGTGCTGGAGTTACAGGTGTACGGCACCAAGCCTGACCGGGAATCTATGTTAATATTAATTCAGAACATTCTACATCTTTCAATGTAAAGATTAAACTCTCTTCATATGCGTATTTCTAACATTCCTAATAATCTTGGAAATTCCATAATGCCCCTTTCTCCAGATCAAAGTATGCCCTCCATGCATTTGTTCATAGAGGTAATTTCTCTAAAATTTACTCCATTTGGACCTCAAATAACACAGTGGTGTGCACTGGCATCTTCAAAATCATTTGCAAAGATTTTTCTGTTTTTTTTTGTTTTTTTTTTTTCGTTAAATACTTTTCTCAGTAGATAAAAAAAGCAAACAATTCAGAAATATAAGCAAAGAAGGCTTCCTTCTCACTCCTATCCCTCCAGCCACACAGCTCCCCTTCCCAGAAGGGGCCATGGTTACCCATTCTTGTGAGCTTTTTGCACTACAACAAGCCAAACAATTCTCTGGAAAAAAGTCAATCATTATGGGTAATAAGAAAAAGAACAGAAGGGCCCTATGTTTCTCTGCATCTACTGCTTGCTGTTAAGAAACGTAAGTTCAAATCAATAGCCGGCTCCAGGGTTCATTAATGTTATCTACTTGGTTCTCCTTTAGCAATCTGGACAAGGGATCCATACCTAAGTAACTGAGGGTGGGAACAGAATAAATAAAAAATTGTCTCTGCCTGAGATTAAGGGGCCTTTCCTCACTTTTGAATGCAAAGAAAGCTAAAAATTAAAATATGGATAATCATTACTGTTAGGGAGAAAGACACCTTAACACCAACGCCAAAAATGGTCCAAGAGATAGGCTTTGACATGCAGAGAAATGGGCGTACTGTCTCACAGATTTGTCCCATGGGAGCTAATCCTTTCTCTCTTGCCTCCTTGGTTATCAGGGTGGTCATTAAAAAAAATTTTCAGATGAACATTATTATTCCAATACCAAGGAGAGCTGGCTCCCTTCAGCCAAACCTTTCAGCTCATGACATAAAAAAGGAAAAATATTGGGTGGGGGGGAGGGGAGAAAAAAATATCCAATTTAACAAACCGATATTTTGTACAACTGTTAGACAATCACTTTCAGAGAACCTGCACTTAGCCACTCAACTGTGCTAGGAAAAGCGAGATGAGTAAGACACAGTTCTTCCCTTTCAACAGTCCATTTCTTCCAGCCTGGAGTACACAGCCAGCCCTCAGTCAAGGTTTAGACACTTGTTTTTGGCTGCCCAGACTCCTTTTGGAACTACCTCTGCCACAACTTATGAAAGACAGGAAGTCTCTCCGTCAGCAGAGGAGAGTATACCTGACTAGGTTGATTGGTAAGAATATTTCATCTCTGTAGACGATGACCTCTAGAATTGGACATGTCCCCCAAACAAGGCTGACAGTAATGCTGAAATGGAGAGCTAGAACCTGCCATCACATGAAGGAAGCAGAGGTAGGGAACAACTCCTACTGATACTGTTTAGGGTCCTCAACCCAGCTGTGCCTGGAGAACAGCACTTCCCTATGCCAGCCTTTTCCAATATATAAACAAACACATTATTGTTTCTGCCTAAGCTAACTTCGTATCACTCACAACCAAAAATTTTGACAGACCCACTGGGCAGTGGGACACAGGACAGAAAGTGGATAATTAAGAGGAAGATAGAGTATTTACGCAAAATAATTACAACTGTGAATTGGGTCTAGTAGGAATTTGTAAGATGAAAGTTATTCTAAAAAAATGCTTTGGCCCCCAATTTTTCATTAAGTAAAAAAACAAAAACACTATATGGAGAGTTAAACACCCTAAATACTAAAAGAATTAAGAGAAAGCTCAATTATCTATTAATAATAGACTTAAGATTTGCAAGTGTT